TTCAGAAGACAGAGTTGCACTTAATTTGGTCTCAACAAAAGTAGGATTGGCACAGGCCCAGAGAACAGATATTTAGGCCCCAAAGCCAGGTGAGTTACTAAGAGCAAGCAAGTCCTTTTTGACAGCAGGAATTTGCATTTATTGCCCATTTACACAACACGTAAAAGCACCAGCTTATGAAGTAAGTCTACAGGAATTCCTGGCTTGCCCTAGTTTTATTACTGAGTGGGAAAGAACCACTCTCTTTATTATCCTTGTCAAAGCAAGACATTGTTACCTGTCACAGAACTAATAGTTCCTGACAAAAACTGACAGAAACTACAAAGATACGAGAAAGGAGAGAGGTAGTGAGTGAGCAGACAGCTAAAACAGGCAATGAAAATGGTGAGACAAGGAGAGTAACAGCCGGGGACACTTCACTTTTCCTTAATGCTTTGGATGTTCAAGGAACTCAGTTCTGAAAACTGCAGTAGACCAAGCAAGACATCACAACTGGGACATTGGCAGTGATAAAGGAGAAAATGGTTGTGAAAAGATTCCAGCAGAAACAATTTACATGAAATGAATGAAACCTCATCCAAACTTGCAATTATACTTCTATATGTGAAGTTTTTTGTTATCCAGTCATTATACTCAAGTTACCTACCCAGGGTCCACTCATTTGCACTAAAATCCCCAAAGCAAACTTTCAAATTCCAAAGATGGCAGGGTCAGGGAAGTAATATAAACGAAAGGAAACAACCTGGGTTAAGACATGAAGGAGTGGTGGAACCTGTAACACTTCCTACAGGTTTTAAGAGGAACCTGTGCGTGATTCAGTTTCGGCTGTTGCCACATGAGAATAAAGGTCCAATGATTTCAGGTCTTTTGACTTTTTCAAGAGATATTAGAAATTTTGATTTTTTTCTGTGTAATTTTCTAAACACTATTACATCATGTATGTCAAACAAAACATCCCTGTGGGTTGAATATGGCCTGTGGGCAACTAGTTTACAGCTTCTGTTCTAAAACTTTACAAAGAAAAATTAATAGCATGTTCAGATTTCCAGGGTTAAGAGAGCAAAAAACTTGGAAAGTCAGTGTGCAAACTGGGGCTGGGCCATAAGACAGTGAAAAGTGAGGCAGAAAGTCTAAAGGACTCAGACTTTAGAGTTGGATAGGTCTGTATTAGAAAAATTTGAGATGAATTTTGACAAAGTTTTATTTCAAGGAAGCAGAGATGAAAGAAAACTAGGATATACAGGGTCCCTAATTGATTTAAAGGGGGGAAGGAAATAATACACATATACACACATTATTTCACTTCTCTGTATGTACCCTGACTTCTTTATCATTAAAATAGGAATAACAGAATCGATTTAATAAGGCTATCATAGGATTAAATAAGGAATTATTCATATAACTGCCATTATCCCCAGCAAGTCATGTTTAATACTTGTTTAATACATGTTTAATAATGTTAGCTATTATTTATTATTATGAGGCACTGAGAGGTAAAGTAACATGCTCAAGATCCCATGGCTATTAAGGTATACTGCCTGGCTTTGTATCCAGGATGTACTTCAGATCCTACTCTCTAAACCATCAAGCTCTTCAGCCTCTGTTTAAAATCTGTAAAATAAGTAAGTCAGATCAGAAGATAACTGAAGTCCCTTCTAAAGTTGACACTATTCTAAACGCCAGACCTCTAATCAGCTTATTTCAGGGCAGCAGTGGGACAAACATGAACCTGTCCACATGCTTATGGGCTACCTGCTGAAGTGGAAAGACACAGCTCAGGCTTGGGGTAGGGCAGGAAAACCATTGTAGCATGGAACTAACCCTATGGTAAGGTAGGAAGGAAAAAGTATTCAATGTGAGCCCCCTTTATTGTTCCACGGAGATATATTTGTTTCTAGGAAGCAGTGGGCCACTCAATTAGGCCCAGAACACACAGATGTACCCAAGCTACTACAAGCTGAAAGTTACTGAGAAGTCAGCTAAGGAACCACAATAGGCTCTAAATCAAGAACCTTTAGAATGCCAAGTGACTCATCCCCTTGGAATTCAAGGGTCTCTGTGAGAACCTGGTAAAAGCTCTCCTCGTTCCTAGAAAAAAATGCCACATGTGCTCACTCAGATACACAAGCACACATCTTTTTACCTGCAATTACAAGGGGTTCACAAATTCTCGAAAATCTCTCCCTAGACATTAAAGTACCCCTGAATTAGATCATCTCTCCTGTTTGAGGCTTGTCCTCCCAGGTGATTCAGAAGTGTCCCAAGATTTGGGGGCTGGGGTTTCTAGGCAGCTGTGTTAGGAGACAAATCATCCACTGCAACACAGCATAATTAATCCCGCATAGAAAAGACAAAGGGCTGTCTCTTTTTCCCCATACCAACTTGTACTGAGTTCAAACAGAAAGATCTGCACTTTAATCCCTAAACACTAGAGGATGTGGAGAACAGGACCCCAAGAATATTTCATAGCTTTTCTCTGCCTCGTATCCATAAAATCACATAGAACCTTAGAAAAGATGAAAGAAACAGGTAAAAACATCCTAGTCTCTGCAGCACTGTGCTCTCCCTTTTACTCCAAGAAAGCAAATCAGTCAAGAATGCCAATTAGCTTTACTAGATGACTTCTCCCACGTGGGCTTTGAAAACTACAGGTTACCAAAGAAACCACATAACCTTATGCATAAATGGAGTAATCAAAACTAGAACATAGTACTTTCCCCCATCAAGACTTGTAACGTTTATGTGTTAATGAAGGACTATTAATGAATACGTGTTAATGAGATGTACGTGGTCTTGTGCAGTTGACAGGTTTATAAATCAGTGTAGCCTTTCTTGGTGGTGGGAAAATTTGACAATTTTTATTTTAAAAAGATGTAAAAACATCCATTCTTTGTTTGATGCAGCAATTACCTAGATATTTTGCAAAGGTAGGCCAAATACGTGTGACCAGGGTCAGTGAAACATAGTTTATCATGGCCCAACAGGAAACAAGAAGTCTGGCTGTTGGGTATATCACATGAATGGAATACCAAGTAGCCATCAACAGAATATGCTAGATCTGTTATGTGCTGATATGAAAAAAGCTGCAAGACATATTATTAATCGAAAAAAGCTGAAAACAAGGTATTATTATGTGGTCCTTTTAGTTTAAATTCTTCTAAGGATATGTATTCTTTATGCTAGTTATATGCATTAAACTTTGCTCTTGACAGATACCTAAGAACCTGTTCACTGTAGTTATTTTTGGAGAAAGTGACTAGAGACCAGCAAAGAGAAGAACTGTACTGACATAAAGCATTTAAAAAACACAAGCAACAAAGATTGGCTTGAGATAGGATCTTCTTTTTATCTTTTTCTTTACGTTTGTCTGGATACAGACCCTAAATTTAGTAAGTGTTACTATAAAAATATAGCAGAAATCTCACTTAGAATTTTTTTTAAAGAGAAAGAAGCCATGTTTAGTGAAGGGATAACTAGAAAGGGGAGGAGGGCCCAAATACAATGCACAGTAGGAAGCTGGTGGAGGAAACTCGGGAGAAGCATTAACATTCAACCGCCCTCTTCTCTCAAGACACTGCTGACATCACGAGCTACTCAAGCTTTCCACTGGGGATGAATAGCTCAGGCCTCACTCCAGTTGCCAGCTATTCATTCTCAGTACAGGAGATAGCAGGCTGGGAGAAAGCTGGCATCGTTATTCCAAATTCTGTCTTTTGTGATATGGACAAGGCATAACAGTTGCTCCTGAAGAGCGCAAAGTGGAGAGAATGCTAAAGCTAAACACAGGAGACTGTCTTCCTGGCAGAGGACAGGCCTCCCTAAGCGCACAGTACAAAGGCACCACAGGGGTCCTCCACTACACGCACTGCCGTCACATGGAAAAGGAAGGGCCAGGTGCACATGCAACGGAGAGCAGGGGAAATCTCTGCTCCCAGACGGAGCCTCAGGGATCCCCACTCAACACCAGGGATCCCCTTCTGGGATCCCATAGCTCCAACCTCATCAGACTGCCCCATGGAGAGAATTAGCTAGGACTGAAAAATCACCAAGGAAGATAATCCTCTGTACTTAATTGCCCCTTTCATCTGAGGCCCATGAAATAAACCATAACCTTGTTTACTCTGCATGACACTCTTCTGCAATAGTACCTTAAAGTGGGAAGTTACTGCCATGTGGAGTTTTCAGAAGAGCTAGCAATGCATGCGAATCTTTCATAAAGCAAGGTTTGGCTTTATATGCTATAAAAGGTCATAGGTGCCATAAAAGGTCATCTCTCCCCCGTGGGATTTAAGGAACATGAAAGAGGTTCCTCCTTGCCCCACCCACATATTTCCCTTAATGTCTGAAACCCCCCCATAAGGGACTTGAATCACCAGCTCAGAACTGCCCCAAGTGTGCTCTTTAATAGTGTGAACACAAGGGGACACGCCCCCTAACACTGCAGTGGGAGCTCTTAGCCTGTGCTGCTGTAGCCACTGGTCCTTCTGAGAAACTGAAGGAAAAAAAACAAAACCAAACTTCCTCCTCACAAAAACACACTTAGTTGAATACACAACATAATTTCCATGCAACTTGGGAGTTCACAGTTCTCCTGAAGTTCACATCTCCTTCAGTCTGGGGTTAAAAATCCCCAGTTCAGTAGTAATGAATTTAATAAATCACCATAATTCCCCTTCCATGCATCTGGTGAACTGTGGACCTAAAGATAGAGGGTAGTGCTAAAGCAAGTCTTTCCCATTGCAAAGTTTGCCTAGAACTGATCCTGTCTAGAGCCCAGATTACAATTTATGATTCCTTCTTAGCAAGGAGTGTGGATATCTCACACTGCTTGCCCCTTGGGAATAGAGTTCTCCTGGTTTCAGAGAAACCAGGATAAGTTAGGAGATGTCCAACTGAGATCAACTGCCAGCCAGGTTCCCACAACACGTGCTGGCTGATTATATTTCTTGAGATTTGAGGCAGGGAAAAGCGTTAACACCTTCTGAATAAAAGGAGCTCACCTCTGAGGTTTTCGAATATCCCAGAGTCCCACTCCTTCCTTTGAATTGGCTGTGGCCAATAACCTGGGCTCCACAGGGTTAAACATGACACTGTGAAAGGCTGACGGATAGTTGGCCAGGCAGAAGGGCTCTGTGAAGAGAAAAATTCCGATCAGTCCACTTCAGGCACTTCTGGGCCAGTGACAGGTACACAAGGAGGACTGTGAAGGCAAGGAGGAACACAGCCTTTAACAACTACCCCAGAGGCTGGAACCCAATGCAGTACATCATCCCCCTAGCATGCTTACTCACAAAGTCCCCATGAGTCCTGGCACATACCCTCTCTACACAGAAAGTCTGAAAACAGCAACTTAAACACATATGCACAGAGTTTAAGCTATAATACTGAGAAATACACATAGCACCTATTTAGATCCTGTAACAAAACAGAAATGGTCATTGTAACCAGGAAGGTAAGCTGTTTCACAGTAAGTAAAACTGAATTCCTCATGAGCTAAAAAAAATTCACACTCAATTACTGGTAGGATTATTATACCTTAATCCAAATTTACCAGCTTTAGAAATTAAGTTTTATAACTATATAGACTTAAAATAACAGTGCAGTTGTTCCTTCTGGTAATATTGCTCCCTAAATTGAAAAGAAAATGGCTTCAGTCTAGAATTTTAAGATTTCATTTCCAATGTTGAAATTCTTCAAAAAGAAAAAAAAAAGACATCTAATACTTGAACTTCTCTTGCATCCAGCCAGCTCCTATGTATATCAACTTCCCCTAGAAACCCTGCAGCCTCTTGCATATACTAGCTGGCTCCAGGTGAGGAAGGAACCACTCTGCTGCCTGGAGGACTCAATCCTGCGGAAGCTGTTTAGAAGCAGTAGGCGGAAAGCACTCCTCAGTCTGTGATTCCGTACAGGATGCGTCACAGGCCTCTGTGTGGGGAGAGGGCACAAGGAGCGCTCCATCGTCTCAGCCAGGAGGCAGTTCAGACAAAGAGAATTCCATCCGGGAAGCAAACCATTACATTCAACCACAGGTGCTGCTGTGGCTACCTTATCTTCCTGACCCCGAGAATAAGCTTCTCCTACAGCCTGAACCTCAGCAGTGAGCATAGACCAACATATGACATGCTCCACATCTAGAATAAAGACTCAGAGCCCGCCAGACGAGGCAGGCAGGGTAGTAACTCGGGTACAGAGCTACGGTGCCGACACAGCCGCACCCAGAGTGGGGCTGCGGGTGGCGCTGAGGGTGTGCTGGAGAAACGAGCCTTTGAAGACAGAGTGACTGAAACCTCTCTGCAGGAAATGAGCTGAAAAGGTGAATTTCCTGAAGAACTTCAGAGAAAGGCAACAAGACAAATTCTTCATTTTACATTTCAGAGATGCAAAGAAAACATTCAGAAGAGGAACTCACCCAGACAATCCCCCTTAAACAGAGTGTATCTGCTATCATTTTAAGTTTCTATACACAGTTAAGGTGAGGGTCTGTGGTTCTTCCAGCAAAACAACAACCCTGGAACTAGGATGCAACAAAGTGCACAACACCCCCATTCTCTTAAATAACCCAGAATATGTGCATTTCAGCACCACGCACCCAGGGCCCTTGTGGCTACCCTCCACAAACGAGGCTCCACACCTTCTGTTCCTTGGGGCCACTACACAACAAGACACCGTGGTGTTTACACTCGTGCAAAGCTCTGTGGGTCACAAGCGGCTGGAAGAGCATCGGCCAAGGAGCCTCTCCTGACTCCTGCGGGGCAGCACAGGAGCTCCAGAGACACTGATGTGCCCGTGTGAGCTTCCTCTCCCTCTGCAGCACTTCCGCCCGATTCCTCAGGTCATAAACTGGATCCCCGGCGAAGCTGACGTCAAACTCTTTGAAGCACAGTCCAACTACTTTGTGCACAGGGCCCTACCTCCATGGGGAGATTCCCGGATGTCCCAGATGAGAACCCGGCCATCATCGGAGGAGCTGGCAAAAATGTTGTCATTCACAGGGCTCACTGACAAGCCATACACCGCATCTTCATGAGCGAACACATCTAAGGTCTCACTGCTGAGAGACAGAGAGCAGAGAGAGGCACACAGGCATACACATTCACACAAAAATAGTGCAGAGTCCCAGCCCTCTAGTTCCTAGAATGAAGCTCTTTTCATTTCCAGGAGAAAATCACCCAGCTAAACCCCAAGGATATTACATTTACTAAAAAGTAAAAAGTAGTATTCAACTTTCAGGTTAAAAGAAAAAGGTATTATTAAAGAGACAAGACCTCACAAGAAGATTGTTTTTTGCACTAACTGAGCGTATTTAAAAGTGACTCAAGGGAATTCCCTGGCAGTCCAGTGGTCAGAACCTGGTGCTTTCACTGTCAGGGCCCAGGTTCAATCCCTGGTTGCAGAACTAAGATCCCTACTGTACTCCTCCCCACCACGTGCCCGCCAAAAAAAAGTGACTCAACATATGAGTTTCATGTTTTGACTGACTATAGAATGCATCTGCTTGTGTACAGACTTGGGGAGTGGTGCTGGATTTCCAAGAAGTGAGGGAAAACAATAAAGCAGCCCTGATGCCAGCAAGGGAAGAAGAGGAATTCCTGATGTCTGGCATGTGAGAAAATACCTGGCCCCAAAGCCAGGCTGCCTCAGTTCAGATCCTAACATCACTTGACCTTAAGTTACCTAACATCTCCATGCCTCAGTTTCCTAATTGAGATCATAATAGCATTGCCTCATAAAATTACTGTGAGGGTTAAGTGTTTCCTTCCCTTCTAACCTCTCTAACCTCACCCTTTAAAATTTCACCAGAAAACTATAATTTTATATCAACTTTGTATATCTTTTTATAAATCAAAATTTAATTTGAAAACTATTACTGAAATCTTTTTTCAGCAAAAGACAGTTGATTTTATGCTATTTACTTCAAAAAAAGAAGAACTATTTTGGTCTAAAGAGATATCTGCCTTTCTTCATACGAAAAACAGAGCTAATCACTTTCACATATCAACAATCTATTTACCTTTCAACATCATGGAGGATAACTTGCTCATCATTTCCTGTAAGGGAAAAAGCAGACATTTGACAATTCCTGCAAAGTGGTCCCATTCATATTGTTCAATTCAGTATGTTAAAGATTTCAGGGAAAACAAATGGACAAAGTCAGTGTTAATAAAAATTAAGAGTGCTAATTAGAAGAAAGTTTATAAAAATCATTAAGAAGGATAGAATATACGTATAGAGAATTTTAAAAAACATAATAGCAACTAAAAATAACAAAAAGCAATCTCCAAAATGCATTATCCAATGAATGATTACAAAAACAAAAACAAAACAATGGCTCTTCAGGAAAAGAGTAAGTGATCATTGGCAAATCAATCAACTAACTATTCCAAGCTAGTGTTTTTTTGTTCTTTTTAAAAAACAAAACAAAACAAAACATTCATTATCCGTGAGACCTGGAATAATATCTGTAACTTTTCTATGTCTCAGCAAAATAGGAATAGTTGTGTCTACTTCATAGTAATTGTGAAGATAAAAGTGTAAAAGCATTCAGATTAGAACTAGGCCCCCCCAACAAATGTTTGCTACTATTCACATCTTCATCATCTTTTATAGCATTAAAATTTAATGATGATTTAATTAAAATTTAATGATGATGATACTAAATGACGGGAAAGTTTTTATCCACAACTTTTTTCTCTTGCATTCTCTTTATTCCATCAAGGCATCTAAAAATACTATACATTCATGATATGTGTAGTCCTGCCTTCAAGTGGTTTATAGAGCTAACAAATAAAAACTCCAAAATGAAGACAGTAAAAAAATTTCCCACTCTATGCTAAAAGCATAAGCAGTAGAGATGTGGCTAGGTCATCTTAAAGTTCTCCCTGTAACTCTATTGTGGGTTCATATGAAGTACATCAAACCCGTATCAATGCCTTATGGGTAACAGGCACAGTGTGAAATGCTGAAGATCTGAGAGAAAGAAGATTGAGGAATTCACAGTCTACCTGCAAGAACAATTACTAGTGACAAGACAGGTTATCTTGTAGTGATATGCTCTGCTATGGGGACACAGACAAAGGGGCAATTGGGTCCTTTACGAACAGGGTGAACGTACATGGTGAACATGTTTTTATGGGAAAGGAGACACTTGAATAGAAACTCAGAATTCTAATCGATTGAAGACTTAGGGTAATTGGTGTGGTTGGACAATAATCATGGCCTGTGGAAAAACAGCAATGGCACTTAAGATGGCAAGTGACTTAGGAAACTAGAGCACAAGATGCGGGGGAGGAAAAGGAGGCCAGGCAGGTAGATTGGGTCCAGACTTTATCCTGTGGACAGACACTGAAGGTCAAAGGTTCACAGGATTGATTCAACTTTTCAAAGAAAACTTGTATAAGCAATGAGTATAAAACTTGTATAAGCAATGAGATACTGGTAGCAGAAATCACAGGACATTATAGTAGTCTAGGCCAAAAATGAGAACCTGAATCAGAGCAGTAGGTACAGCAACAGAACAGAAACTAAAGGATGAATATGAGGCTTTCAAAATATTAATAGCTGGTGACTTACAAGATGTAAAAATGACAGAAAGGCACGTTTGACACTGATTTTGAGATTTCTATTAGATTGAACCATATTGAAATTGTCTTTTTTATAGATTAAAAATGCTTCAATGTCAGCAGTTCCTTAAAAGTTAAACCTAAAAATTTAGATAATTACTTGAATGGTGATAGTAACTGAGAAAGGGAATCCATGAAACAAGAGGAAATATTTGTGCAGGTGAGAAGAACTAAAATCTTAGTTTTAGATCTGTTGCATTTAAACTACTTTTGGAACACAAGGTAGATATCCAGTGGGGAAATCTGCAGTGCAGAAGAGAAAGTGTTAGTCGCTCAATCATGCCTGACTCCTTGTGATCCCATGGATTGTAGCCTGCCAGGTTCCTCTGTCCATGGAATTCTCCAGGCAAGAATACTGGAGTGGGTTGCCAGTCCCTTCTCCAGGGCAACCAAGGAACAGAATCCAGGTCTCCTGCACTGCAGGAAGATTCTTTACTGTCTGAGCTACCATGCAAGCAGAAGAGAGGTTAGGCCTAGAAATGTAGTGGTCAGACAGGAGTGTGATTAATGGATGCCATCAAGAGGCTGGCTTGCTGGCAAGCCATTCCAGTTATACCCCAACATAACATGTTTTCAAACAGGAGCCACTAATGGGTCATAATACCGATTGGAATCACAACCTTTAAAATCTTTAAAAACAGAATAGAAAAAGAAAAATCAGAGTGAGTCACACATAGTAAAGTACTCTTTCTAATATGTGTCTGTGTACCAGACTTCAATGTGAAGTTTTCTACTGAAAAAGATAGAAACAAGAGCAAAAGAGAGAAAGGACAGACAGACATTAGTCTGATATGTGTATCTAATCTGCTATCATACAGAGAAGACAAGCTATAGGAAACCAATATTTCCACAACTCAATAGGCTAAAGGAAAGAAAATTAGGAGTAATTTTAACATTCCTTTATCTGAAATCCCAGCCACAGTCAATTTCCCAAGGGGAAATCTCCCTTCTGCTCACCTCCAGAGAATACTTTGGTGTTCCCACTGTTGAAAGCCAGGCAAAAAATGTTGGAATGATGCTCTCCTTTCAGCTGTATGGGCTTAACTCTGGAGTGGATAGCTTGTTCCATGTGCCATAGTAGAACCCGGCGATCATCTCCTCCTTGAGAGGGGAGCAAGAATCTAGGGTTAGAACAGCTGGCATTTCAAGGCTGACGTTTCATTTTGCCAGCCTGAATCCCATACTTTTCAAAACTGCATCTCCCCACCTCTGTGAGACTCTTATGAGGCACATAAACCCAGGACACTACCCCATTAATCATCAGTGGACATGTGGCCTCTAAGTCACTCACTTTTCCCCAGGAATTACATCTTGAACAGACACACAGAAATTCCTGAATTTCCAGAGACCCAGTCATTTACACATTTCTTCATCTGCTACCTAAAATTCTTCCACTAATGTTCCCCCACTTTTTTCTGGTCTAACAGAACCTGAGTTGCTTTCTACTGCTTGCAATCAAAGAACTCTAAAGAAATTCCCCAAAGTTTAAAGCGTTAATAGTTTCCAAAGCACTCTCTTTGATGAGATCTCATTAACTATGGGACACCAGACAAAGGATAACTGAGGAATTGCCTGTCACAGCAGCAAGATCAAGACAGAACTTGGCTCTCATGAAGCTCAGTCCAGCTCTTTCCTCTGCACAACTCTCTACAGTCTGAGTAGAATGAGCAATATTCTACTGCATGGGCCAGCTCCTAGAGAATGAGAAGATACATGTTCTACATATTCTTTATTTTTGCAAATGCATTATACATGTCTGGAAGGATGAACAATGGACTGTTAAAAGGGTTTACTACTTCCATGGAGTAGGATTAAAAGAGAGGTAGAATACATGTTAGAAAGCTTTTACTTTTACTTTATAGATTTGGCACAGCTTGACTCTTTATAATAAACCTATATTCTCTTCCTAATAAAAATGTAACTTACAACAGGGCAGAAAAATAGTAAGTTCTATACTTCTGCCTCCTCTTTTCCATTCAATATAATAGCTACAAATTGTATCACAATCATACAAGAGTGTACCACTAGATGCAACCACTGAATCAATAAGTCTATAAGAACTAACACAGAAAGATGACCAAAGGTCTCTGTCAGGGGAAAAACATGAAGTGTAAAACAGTATGCATACCAACATCCTTTTGTGTAAAACAAATTTTTAAAAAGCTCCATGACAGCAGGAACCTTGTCAGCTTTGTTCACTGCAGAATTTCTAGCACCTAAGTGAATGCCCCAAAGAGTAGACACTGACTTAACATGCTTATGCTTGCACGTCTATGCTTGTATTTGCGTATCTAGATGACTGTAAAAGAAGTTGTTTTCAGTGGACACCACTTCTAGGCTAGAGCTGCTGGGAGACTTTTCATTGTGATAAAATATATATAACAGAAAATGCAGAATTTTAATCATTTATGAGTGTACAATTCAGTGTCATTAAGTATATTTGCAGTGTTGTGCAAACATCACCATTATCCATCTCCAGAACTTTTACATCATCTCAAACTAAAATTCTGTACCCAATAAACGATATCTCTTCCCAGTGCTCTGTAACCATCATTTTACTTTCTATCTCTATGAATCTGATTACTCTAGGTACTCCCATATAAATGGAATCATATAATATTTGTCCCTTTGTGTCTGGCTTACTCACTTAGCATAACATCTTGAAGGTTCATCCATATGGTAGCACATATCAGAATTTCATTCTTTGTAAGGCTGAGTAATATTTCATTACACACATACCATATTTTTTTTTAAAGTTCATTCATCCATCTATAGATATTTAGATTGTTTCCACCTTTTGGCTATTGTGCATAGCATTGCTAAGAGCATATGGATGTATAAATATTTGTTCAAGCCCCTGCTTTCTGTTCTTTGGGTATATACTGTAGGAAAATCATTATGTTTTAATTATTACTTTATACCTTCTTTTACTACTTGACATTTTGCCATAAACATATTTTCTCTTTTAGTTAAAAAAAAAAAGAGCAGAAAATATAGTAGCCAAATTAAACTTATTCTCCCTCCTCTAGAAAGAAGCTGCCTTCATTCCTTGAGTTCCTTTGTTTCTTGGGATTCTTCTTCCTTCCCTTGTTGGTCAAAATCAAGTTGTGTCCTCTTCCAAAGTATTTCATTTGTCTACCAGAATGATCCCTTAACTAAGACCCACGATGTTCTTTGTTTATGATTTGCCTAATTCAACTAGGCTGGCCTGGGATGGTTATTTAAATTCCATTATCTCTTATAAAGTTAAAGTCATGAAAATAAAGTTTGGGGTTTTGTTTGCTTTATTTTAATAAAAAATGGCATAAAGGGGTTTTCCTCCCTATTCATAGATTTGGACAAAGCATGGGCACTTTAGTTCTACATAGTTTCTACTCTTCTGTTTTCCCCCACCACTTGAGGCCACAGGTCAGGGACCTGGCACTGTTTTTGCTACTTTGTATCTTAGAGAAATATTTTTCTGTGCCCACTTCTCTATCAAAGTGCAAATTAAAAGATAAAGAGGCCCACATGTGTCTTCCACATACTCATGTTTCTAATCTAATCTCTCTGAGCCAGAGTTTCATCAAATACATACCTAGGATCATAATAGCTCTACTCTCATGGGTTTTATGAACTACTCATGTTTCTAATCTAATCTCTCTGAGCCAGAGTTTCATCAAATACATACCTAGGATCATAATAGCTCTACTCTCATGGGTTTTATGAACTATAAAGTCGACTACAAGAGGAGGTAAGTAACTTGCCAAGGTAACAACAGTAAATAAAGTGGTTGGTTAAGTCACAATTCAAAGGGCTTCCCTGGTGGTTCAGCTGGTAAAGAATCCACCTGCAATGCGGGAGACCTGGGTCCGATCCTTGGGTTGGGAAGATCCCCTGGAGAGGGGAACAGCTACCCACTCCAGTATTCTGGCCTGGAGAATTCCATGGACTGTATAGTCCACGGGGTCACAAGGAATCGGACAGGACTGAGCGACTTTCACTTTCAAGATTCAAAAGGAAATAGTTAAAAGATTCCATAGTCCTCATTTTCTTAACCACTATTCTAGCTTGTTTGCATTTCAAAACGAAAAACAAACCATAACCAACAAAGCAAATTCAGTTGATGAACAACTGAAGGGATTCTCTGCCTTGGTAGCACAACTCAAAACCCAGTAGGTTAAGAATAAAACAAAGGACCACAGGAATAAAAACAGAAATCAACTTAACTGGAGTTGAACAGAGGGAGCAGAGACAGGAACCAAGAAGGGACTGCCTGAAATGATAAAGATTCTAGTAGCAACACACAAAACTGATCATGGCTTATTTTGAAGAATACACAAGAATTTCTACAAATCAATTTTGAAAACCAGTAGGAAAAGAGACAAACGACAACTCACAGAAGAGGAAAATCAAATGGCAAACAGATATTATAGAGGATCTCAACCTCTATAGTAATTAGAGAAATATAAGTTATAGATCTTTCAAAACGGCACAAAGAAACGTACAAGAAGGTCCACTGCCTCACTGTTCATAATAGCAAAAAAAAAAAGTAGGTAACATAAATATCCATCGATATATAAACAATAAAAACAATTAGGATGAAAATACAAATGAAATCTAAGCTCAGTGGAACCACTACACAGCATTTAAAATGAGCTAGATACATGTACCAAAATGAATAAACTTTGAAAACCCAATTTTAAGTAATAAAAACAGGTTTCAGAAGGATATGTAAAGGAAAACATTAAGTATAAATAGGCAAAACACCACCATATTATTTAAGAATAAAGACAAACAGTAAAAGGGGACCTCAAATGTATGTGTAAAATTTTCTTTTTTAAAAAACTAAGATTAGAAGCAAATTTAACAAACAACCAACACACTGTCAAATTCGTTATCTCTCTTCCTATTTAAATACTGCATGACATTGTTATATCTTTTAGGTATAGTAATGGTATTGTGGTCATGTTAAAAAAGAAAAAATACTTATCATCAGTTAAGGATGCATTCTCTAATGGGGTTAAGTGGTGAATGTCTGGAAGTTCCTTAAAAATATTCCAGAAAAAAATGGAGGTGAATAGGTGATAAAATGTTAATTGTTATAGATGGATATACTACATTTTTGTATATGCTTGCACATTACCAAAAAATTTAAAATATATATAAATATTTTTTTTTTTGATGTGGACAATTTTTAAAGTCTTTATTGAATTTGTTACAATATTGTATCCTTTTTTATGCTTTGGTTTTTTGGCCAGGGGGCATGTGGGATCTTAGCTCCCCAATCAGGGATCAAACTTCATCCCCTGTATTGAAAGGTGAAGACTTAATCACTGGACCACCAGGGACGTCCCTATATATTTATATATATATATTAATGTTTGTGATAGAAAAAGAAAATAAAACTCTCCAGGATGTGCTGAGATATCCATAGAAAAGAAATATAACTGAGGGCACCTCTGTGTTTCATTAAGATATGAACAGGAAGGATGCTCGGGCCTGGTGCACTGGGATGACCCAGAGGGATGGGATGGGGAGAGAGTTGGGAGGGGGGATCAGGATGGGGAACACATGTACACCCATGGCGGATTCAAGTCAATGTATGGCAAAACCAATACAATGTTGTAAAGTAAAATAAATAAATAATTTTTTAAAAAAAGATATGAACAAGCAGCACAACTTCTCTCTGCTGGCAGCACCACCTCTTTTGAACTGCAGTAGCATTAAAAAAAAAACAAAGTTCAATAAAAAAGGAAACAATATCTACACCTATGCACTCAAAGTCATAACCATTCTCAACCAAAGAATCTTCCCCTATCACCCAGATTATCTTTAATGCTCATTTTGGATTTAATTTTACAAAATAAATACTCGGTGATTTAACATGAATGGTTATTTGTAGAGTGCCTTGGGATAATTTAAAATGATGTGTCCTTAGTACCTAAAATGATAATGGCAGCCCAAGTCCACAGGAGATTGGAATCACTGAGGCAGAAACTATCATTATGACAGGGCCTGCTTCCTCTGCTTGCCCTCAAGGTCAGTGTCAGAAGATGCAAGGTGCACGTTCTCTCCCACCCGGCCCCATTTCCTTAGGCAAGGTATTAAGAGCCCTGTAC